TTGTGACATTCTACCCCATCATCACCTGTGTTGTGACATTCTACCCCATCATCGCCTGTGACATTCTACCCCATCATCGCCTGTGACATTCTACCTCATCATCACCTGTGTTGTGACATTCTACCCCATCATCACCTGTGTTGTGACATTCTACCCCATCATCACCTGTGTTGTGACATTCTACCCTAACATCACCTGTGACATTCTACCCCATCATCACCTGTGTTGTGACATTCTACCCCATCATCACCTGTGTTGTGACATTCTACCCCATCATCGCCTGTGACATTCTACCCCATCATCGCCTGTGACATTCTACCTCATCATCAACTGTGTTGTGACATTCTACCCCATCATCACCTGTGTTGTGACATTCTACCCTAACATCACCTGTGACATTCTACCTCATCATCACCTGTGTTGTGACATTCTACCCCATCATCACCAGTGTTGTGACATTCTACCCTAACATCACCTGTGACATTCTACCTCATCATCACCTGTGTTGTGACATTCTACCCCATCATCACCTGTGTTGTGACATTCTACCCTATCATCACCTGTGACATTCTACCCCATCATCACCTGTGTTGTGACATTCTACCCCATCATCACCTGTGTTGTGACATTCTACCCCATCATCACCTGTGTTGTGACATTCTACCCCATCATCACCTGTGTTGTGACAATCTACCCCATCATCACCTGTGTTGTGACATTCTACCCCATCATCACCTGTGTTGTGACATTCTACACCATCATCACCTGTGACATTCTACCTCATCATCACCTGTGTTGTGACATTCTACCCCATCATCACCTGTGTTGTGACATTCTACCCCATCATCACCTGTGTTGTGACATTCTACCCCATCATCACCTGTGTTGTGACATTCTACCCCATCATCACCTGTGTTGTGACATTCTACCCTATCATCACCTGTGACATTCTACCTCATCATCACCTGTGTTGTGACATTCTACTCCATCATCACCTGTGTTGTGACATTCTACTCCATCATCACCTGTGACATTCTACCTCATCATCACCTGTGTTGTGACATTCTACCCCATCATCACCTTGTTGTGACATTCTACCTCATCATCACCTGTGTTGTGACAATCTACCCCATCATCACCTGTGTTGTGACATTCTACCCCATCATCACCTGTGTTGTGACATTCTACCCCATCATCACCTGTGTTGTGACATTCTACCCCATCATCACCTGTGTTGTGACATTCTACTCCATCATCACCTGTGTTGTGACATTCTACTCCATCATCACCTGTGTTGTGACATTCTACCCCATCATCACCTGTGTTGTGACATTCTACCTCATCATCACCTTTGTTGCATTCTACCCCATCATTACCTGTGTTGTGACATCCTTCCCCATTATCACTTGTGTTGTGACATTCTACCCCATCATCACCTGTGTTGTGACATTCTACCCCATCATCACCTGTGTTGTGACATTCTACCCTATCATCACCTGTGTTGTGACATTCTACCCCATCATCACCTGTGTTGTGACATTCTACCCCATCATCACCTGTGTTGTGACATTCTACCCCATCATCACCTGTGTTGTGACATTCTACCCTATCATCACCTGTGACATTCTACCTCATCATCACCTGTGTTGTGACATTCTACTCCATCATCACCTGTGTTGTGACATTCTACTCCATCATCACCTGTGACATTCTACCTCATCATCACCTGTGTTGTGACATTCTACCCCATCATCACCTTGTTGTGACATTCTACCTCATCATCACCTGTGTTGTGACAATCTACCCCATCATCACCTGTGTTGTGACATTCTACCCCATCATCACCTGTGTTGTGACATTCTACCCCATCATCACCTGTGTTGTGACATTCTACCCCATCATCACCTGTGTTGTGACATTCTACTCCATCATCACCTGTGTTGTGACATTCTACTCCATCATCACCTGTGTTGTGACATTCTACCCCATCATCACCTGTGTTGTGACATTCTACCTCATCATCACCTTTGTTGCATTCTACCCCATCATTACCTGTGTTGTGACATCCTACCCCATTATCACTTGTGTTGTGACATTCTACCCCATCATCACCTGTGTTGTGACATTCTACTCCATCATCACCTGTGTTGTGACATTCTACTCCATCATCACCTGTGTTGTGACATTCTACTCCATCATCACCTGTGACATTCTACCCCATCATCACCTGTGTTGTGACATTCTACCCCATCATCACCTGTGTTGTGACATTCTACCCCATCATCACCTGTGTTGTGACAATCTACCCCATCATCACCTGTGTTGTGACAATCTACCCCATCATCACCTGTGTTGTGACATTCTACCCCATCATCACCTGTGTTGTGACATTCTACTCCATCATCACCTGTGTTGTGACATTCTACCCCATCATCACCTGTGTTGTGACATTCTACCTCATCATCACCTGTGTTGTGACATTCTACCCCATCATCACCTGTGTTGTGACATTCTACCCCATCATTACCTTTGTTGCATTCTACCCCATCATCACCTGTGTTGTGACATTCTACCTCATCATCACCTGTGTTGTGACATTCTACCCCATCATCACCTTGTTGTGACATTCTACCCCATCATCACCTGTGACATTCTACCCCATCATCACCTGTGTTGTGACATTCTACCCCATCATCACCTGTGTTGTGACATTCTACCTCATCATCACCTGTGTTGTGACATTCTACCCCATCATCACCTTGTTGTGACATTCTACCCCATCATCACCTGTGACATTCTACCCCATCATCACCTTTGTTGCATTCTACCCCATCATCACCTTGTTGTGACATTCTACCGCATCATCACCTTTGTTGCATTCTACCCCATCATTACCTGTGTTGTGACATCCTACCCCATCATCACCTGTGTTGTGACATTCTACCCCATCATTACCTGTGACATTCTACCCCATCATCACCAGTGTTGTGACATTCTACCCCATCATCACCAGTGTTGTGACATTCTACCCCATCATCACCTGTGTTGTGACATTCTACCCCATCATCACCAGTGTTGTGACATTCTACCCCATCATCACCTGTGTTGTGACATTCTACCCCATCATCACCAGTGTTGTGACATTCTACTCCATCATCACCTGTGTTGTGACATTCTACCCCATCATCACCTGTGTTGTGACATTCTACCCCATCATCGCCTGTGTTGCATTCTACCCCATCATCACCTGTGTTGTGACATTCTACCCCATCATCACCTGTGTTGTGACATTCTACCCCATCATCACCTGTGACATTCTACCTCATCATCACCTGTGTTGTGACATTCTACCCCATCATCACCTGTGTTGTGACATTCTACCCCATCATCACCAGTGTTGTGACATTCTACCCCATCATCACCAGTGTTGTGACATTCTACCCCATCATCACCTGTGTTGTGACATTCTACCTCATCATCACCAGTGTTGTGACATTCTACCCCATCATCACCTGTGTTGTGACATTCTACCCCATCATCACCTGTGTTGTGACATTCTACCCCATCATCACCAGTGTTGTGACATTCTACTCCATCATCACCTGTGTTGTGACATTCTACCCCATCATCACCTGTGTTGTGACATTCTACCCCATCATCGCCTGTGTTGCATTCTACCCCATCATCACCTGTGTTGTGACATTCTACCCCATCATCACCTGTGTTGTGACATTCTACCCCATCATCACCTGTGTTGTGACATTCTACCCCATCATCACCTGTGTTGTGACATTCTACCCCATCATCACCTGTGTTGTGACATTCTACCCCATCATCACCTGTGTTGTGACATTCTACCCCATCATCACCTGTGTTGTGACATTCTACCCCATCATCACCTGTGTTGTGACATTCTACCCCATCATCGCCTGTGACATTCTACCCCATCATCACCTGTGTTGTGACATTCTACCCCATCATCACCTGTGTTGTGACATTCTACACCATCATCACCTGTGACATTCTACCCCATCATCACCTGTGTTGTGACATTCTACCCCATCATCACCTTTGTTGCATTCTACCCCATCATCACCTTGTTGTGACATTCTACCTCATCATCACCTTTGTTGCATTCTACCCCATCATTACCTGTGTTGTGACATCCTACCCCATCATCACCTGTGTTGTGACATTCTACCCCATCATTACCTGTGACATTCTACCCCATCATCACCAGTGTTGTGACATTCTACCCCATCATCACCTGTGTTGTGACATTCTACCCCATCATCACCAGTGTTGTGACATTCTACCCCATCATCACCAGTGTTGTGACATTCTACCCCATCATCACCTGTGTTGTGACATTCTACCCCATCATCACCTGTGTTGTGACATTCTACCCCATCATTACCTGTGTTGTGACATTCTACCCCATCATCACCTGTGTTGTGACATTCTACCCCATCATCACCAGTGTTGTGACATTCTACCCCATCATCACCTGTGTTGTGACATTCTACCCCATCATCACCTGTGTTGTGACATTCTACCCCATCATCACCAGTGTTGTGACATTCTACCCCATCATCACCAGTGTTGTGACATTCTACCCCATCATCACCTGTGTTGTGACATTCTACCCCATCATCACCTGTGTTGTGACATTCTACCCCATCATTACCTGTGTTGTGACATTCTACCCCATCATCACCTGTGTTGTGACAATCTACCCCATCATCACCTGTGACATTCTACCCCATCATCACCTGTGTTGTGACAATCTACCCCATCATCACCTGTGACAATCTACCCCATCATCACCTGTGACATTCTACCCCATCATCACCTGTTACATTCTATCCCATTATCACCTGTGAAATTCTACCCTATCATCACCTGTGTTGTGACATTCTACCCCATCATCACCTGTGTTGTGACATTCTACCCTATCATCACCTGTAATGTGACAGTGTACACCCATTTGACACTTTCAGTTCCAAACTACATTTGGTGGATCTAGCTGGCTCAGAACGTGTATCAAAGACTGGAGTGGATGGGCAACAGCTCACCGAAGCTAAATCAATCAACTTATCCCTTCATCATTTAGAAACAGTCATCATTGCTCTACAGTCAGCCCCCATGTCAAGCAGTCACTCTGCAAGTGAAAAGAGTAAGGGTGAAAACCCTGCATTGGCTAGTAGAAGGTAAGTTAAGATCTAGTCTTTTTTATAAACCTAAAGATATTTTTCAGTATTTTTCATTATTATGACCCCTCTTTGACTCACCCCATGGTATTTATTTGTGGTCCTTTTAGTGGCTATAATGCTTGAATTTTGCGTTACTTCAGCAATAATTTTGAGCTAGACTGTATGTTTGATATCTCCACCCTTCTCCTTGCAGTAACACATCGTTCACATCAGGACCGTCATGTGATGGCAGTCGTCCTTTTAAGTTTGTACCCTACAGGAACTCTTTACTAACCATGGTCTTAAAAGATTCATTAGGTGAGAAATTTAACCATTCTTTTTTCAGCATTTAATATTATTATCTGAAAAACAAGAAAAAAGTTTAACTTTGAATATTTTAAAACATTTAACAAGACAATTTTTAAATTTATGCAGGAGGCAACTGCTTAACAGCAATGATAGCCACTATCTCCTTAGAGCCAGAAAATCTAGGTGAATCCATCTCTACTTGTCGCTTTGCACAAAGAGTGGCACGCATAGCAAATAATGCCAGGTAAGTTTTTCTTTGTTATCTCTGACAATTTTATTATCTGGCTTTAGACATTAACAAACTTTAATTTCTATATCTTCACAATATAACTGAGTTGATTTAACTAAAACAGTTTTTATGACAGTATATTAACTGAATGCCATTTGTCTATTCTCAGAAGAAATGAAGAAGTAGATGATAAAACACTTATTAGGAGATTGAAGCAGAAAGTTGCCTACTTAGAGAACCAAGTTGCACTTTTGAGATCCAAGGTAAAAGTCTTGTGCTGTTTGCTAGCTAGATTTATGACATCAACTACTTACTACCACTAACAGAATGGAAAACAATTGTGATATTATTTAGAGAAGCACTAGGCACACAGCACTAATGCTTGTAACATGTTTTCTTCTTGTCCACCAATAATTTTATAAGATAGGTCTTTTCATCAATAATTACATTAGATTTTACTGAAGTAAAGACTCCTCTTTAGACCTAGCAATCCATTGGGCAGATGAAGTAGAATTCATATGTTTCTTTACTTCTGCGTTTGAAGGGAAGGTGTGATCAGCACTTTGCCTAGCCGCCTTTACTTTCCCTAACATGAGTTAAGTACCGATCAGAGCTGGGTGGACTTAGGGATGTTCCATTGACTTGAACCCGGATTCGAACTTGAGACCTTCAGGTTAGCAGCCTAGCGCTCTACAGCCTAGGCCACCAATAATTTCAATAATTTTATAAGATCTGACTCTGCCCACCATTAATGTTATAAGATCTGTTTTGCCCAATGTCACTAGATATTGTATAATATAATCCTTGCTACTAATATGTAGTATTCTAACACCACCAGGGAAGAAATGAGCAAGTGACTGAAGACAATATATTGGATGAGCTGACTGAAGAGGATAGGATGGTCTGTGCTAAGATTATGGAGGGATTTTTGCAAGGGGTCATTACTGATCCAGTTGATGCTGGTAGGTTCAATAATAGTAGCCTTTTAATGATACAATTCTTAATTAAAACTGAATATCTTCACTGATTTATTGAGGTAGAATTAATTTTAAAAACTTCACAAGGTTCCAGTAAAGATAAGATAGGTACATGGCTAACATTACACATTGTGATTAATCTCCTGTCCATCTTTAAACCACTAAAACTCAAAAGAGCTTGTATAAATCTGATCTTTATTCTCATAGCTCTCACTGGAGCATATGGTTTACCTTCCCTCTCACTGGAGCATATGGTTTACCTTCCTGTCCTGCATGAGCTGCCAGAGGTCATTTCAGGTCCTGCCTGTGGCCAGCACCTCTTGCTCCATCTCTCTCCTATCCTCTGATATTTTTGTCAGACACTAATTCTTGTGTGTCGGAGTAGAAACTTTCTTGCTGCTTTCTTCAATGCTCTTGAAACATTTCATTTTCCTATATTAATACAGGTGTGGGAAAAGTTTAGTATGAATAATTTTAAAAGTTTCTTATTTAAAGACATTACATCTTTTGACTACTTCATGCCTTCCTCACAAAAAGTATTACAATTTTTTAATTGTTTGTTTCTACCATCACTACAGGCATATGTGATCAGTGCCGTTTTCGTGAGTGCCTTCACCTACTTAAGCACCAGTGTCTACAAAAAGGCTCCGTAGCAAGGCCACCGAAAGCAATACCACCAGAACCTCAGCAGGACCTTGAGACAACACCTGACCACAGTGATATCACACAGCCCAACAACCCACATAGAGATAGCGGTGACCATGTCATGAACACCACCTCACAAGGGACATCCCCGATAACTAATACTGGTTTGTCGATAGCGGAATCTAAATGGTAAGAAATGTTTAGTCCCTTAGACAGTTGCATGGTCACTATAATCTTGTCACTTGTTAGTTCAAGTATTTATTTTTTTTCTTGTAAAACTGACACAAATATAATTTTGAAAATTAATTTTAAAAATGTTAAGTCAAATCATCTAAAATAGTGTATCAAAATATAAGGCAGTGAGGGGAGTCAAATCATCTAAAATAGTGTATCAAAATATAAGGAGGATCTCATTTAAAAAACCACATAAGGAAATCACCACAAAAAAATAGTCTACTACTTAACATGTTTATAATGATAAAACTGCTTACATAGCATGTGTATTGTAGTACATTTTACGCAAGAATCAAAATAGGTATATTATGAAACACTTTTATTTCATCACAAAATTAGGGATTTGCCTTAGTTATAATTATTAGAATTTTAGAACTATTTAAATTTAAAATTATTTAGGGTAGTTAGTACAAGATCAAGGAAAGTTTTCCCTGGTACTGTAAGCACTATGAACTCCACAGAGAGTGTCTTCAGATACTTTTACAGTTCAGATAAAAAATGGAGTCCACTTAGATGCCCCAGACACACGCAATGTCCGTTGAGAAAAAAGATTATTGTAACTGTTCACATAGCCTAATAGGGACTTGTATACAACCATTACCTTATATTATGTATATTTTTATAAAAACCACATGTGAACAAACCACCTTTAAACAAACCACCTGTAGACAAACATCTGTGGGCAATTCCTGGCTGTGATATATCTAATTGAAAAAACCTGAACAGTTTTTTTGTAGAAAAGGATTTTAAAAATATGTTTCTATTTGTACCCACTGACACCAAACTGAAACAGACATATGTTACAAAATTTTACATATGCACATTTTTTCTGTGTGTGTACATTTTTCTGTTGCACATTTTTCTCTGTGTGCATTTTGCCTGCACATTTTCTGGATACAGAGGAAGTTGCGTTATCCCTAGGGAACTACAAATACAGCTGTGGACACTAATGTATGCGACATGCTGGTGCTATATGCTCTTAGCTGCTCTCTGCACAGGCCATTCCCGTTGTGAAAAATGTTATTGTAAATGATGACATAGCTTAATATAGACTTTGATGCAGTTTTTTTGCAACCATCATCTTCAGCTAGAAATATTAACTATTAAAAACTATTACAGTAGAATGATTGCATTTTTTTAAATATTTGTTTTAGCCCTCAAACCAGGAAAGGTTTATCTGTAGACAATGAATCATCATCAGAAGTAACCCTCCATTCATCTCACGATGTTTACAACAACTCTGCATATTTAGACCAAGCAGAAGGGGGGTTACCACCAGGTCAGTTACCATTAGTCATATTGGTTGGTGATAAATTATACCATCAGTAAACCAATTAGATAGTAGTATTTGTGTATGTTGCAAAGTTGTAAACATATCTTTTACTTTTTGTTTAATATTTTTTATTCTTTTTTTTTTAACCATTAGCTGAAGCAGTTAAAAAAACTAAGAAAACAATTGAAGAGCTAATGGATTCCATAAAAAAAGAAGACAAATTGACATCATCATATAACAAAAAACAAGAGTTTGAGTCAAAAAAACTGAGCAGGAAACTCTCCAAGCTTGACCAGCCAGGACACCCTGATGGCACAGAGCTAGTGAAAAATGAAAACATCCTTCAAGAGCTAATTGCTACTGAAAATAGTTTAAGGTAGGAGTCTTGTGGTTTCAGGTATATTCATACTGGTTCAAACTTTTGAATTTGTCTAGCAAACATTTAAAGTAGATTTAACAGTATAAGAGTCACTTAACAATAAGGAAGTTTTGAATTAGTTAGATTTAAAAAGATAGGATTTTAAAAGGAAGGGTTGAAATAGTGAGATTTAAAAGGAAGCGTTGAAATAGTGAGATTTAAAAGGAAGTGTTGAAATAGTGAGATTTAAAATGATAAGATTCAAAAAGGAAGTTTTGAAATAGTGAGATTGAAAAGGAAGTATTGGGCTAGTGAGATTTTAAAAAGTTTTTTTTATTATTCCAAGCCTGAAGCTACAGGCAACAGAGGAACAGCTCCGAGACCGACACGCGTTCATTGGACAACTCAAGCATATGCAAGCTGATCCAGATTTAATTACCAAAGAACAATTAGTAGAAAAACATTTACTCCGAAGAAAGGTAAGTGGTCTTGTTTTGTTTTACACTGACACATTTCCTCCAGTCCATGTAGGCTTTAAAAAACTGGTAGGCTCTATTTTACTGGAGGGTTTTTGTGGGGTTTTTTTTTTTCATGCTAAGGAGAGATTGTCTAAACCCCGTCACCATGGCTACTCACAGGCTTTCTCTGAAGTTTTGGTTTACATAGATGTATACCAGCCTTTAGAAAAACCTTAAAATATTTTGGTGTTTGAAAACTTGCAACTTTGTTTTGTCTTAGGCCAAAATTCAAGACAAGCTGAACAGTATCCTAATGAACAAATCCAGGTTTGAGCAGAACCTACCCCAGCAGTTTGATTCCAGTCTGACCAGCAGCCACGTGTCGTCCAAGATGTCACTGGATGAGATCAGTGGCCAGCACAAGCAAGGGAAAGGTGTCTTAAACACAAGAGAGGTCTTTGATTTGCTTAGAGCAGAGGAGGAAAAACAGCAGAAAGTAGGATCAGTACCCAGTCTTGAGCTTTTATTTGGTAGTTTAGAGAACATGAGATAAGTTTTTGTGGGTTTTCTAGAGACTATCAGATACACTTAAAGTGAGACTTGCTAGAGAATATCAGATGCACCCTACCAAATGATACCATCTAAGTGGTTAATACCAAACCTGAGAATTAAAAAATTTGCTAATTTTACAAAACACTGTATTTGCTTCACATTGTAGCACTCATTTTTTTTTAATATAGATAGTACATACCTTTTATGGTTCCTAGAAAAATGTGCAAACCCAAAACTGAGCAAACAGAAAAATTAACAAGCACAAACGAGTTTTGCTAATTAAGTTTATCACATTTCGAGGAAAAGTTTTTTTATTATGCTACAAAGTATATGTGGTCATTATTTGTCAATGTCTATAAATGTCCAATTTAAGGAAAGAAATATGCCTTCCGCACATTTTTATGCGCAGTTTTCCCATTATGAATCTTTCCGGTCACCACCTATTATATACAAACCTTAGTCACTGGGTGTCACTTAACCTAAAGACACCTCTGATCATTGGTCTCTAAAAATAGCTTATATTTCTCAGGATTCAAAGAAGGCAGAAAAATCTAAGCACCTTGCTATGAAGGAAGCAGCAACTATTGAAAAACTTCGAGAATTGAAACAAATTCTTAGAATTTCCCAGCAACAAAAAGATCCACATTTTGAAGATCAGTCATATGCTGAAATGCCCTCTCAATTCTACCCCCAGGAGTTTCAAAGTTTGGAAAACTTAAAGCCCCAGAGATATGATTCCCAGCTTCACTACAACACATGCCCCTACCAGAACAGCCTGACAGGGGAGGCTCAACCCCCCGCTGATAGAAATGGCTCGCAGTCAAGGGAAATAGCCTATCCCCATGAAGTCCACTCAGCAGACGACCAAGTCAAGCGTCTGCAAGAGTACCTAGACCAAGTCCTCAATGGTGCTTACATTGACAAATTTTATGAGTCTCGTCATGGTCATGGGAGTATGCGCAGCCCCAAAGCAGCACTTGAGCCAAGAGAGAATTTTGGTGCCTGTAGCCCTCGGCTGCATGCCGGTCTGGATCCCCTGGCTAACAATGTTGCGCTGTTAAATGAAGGTATCATGCCCACAGAAGTGCGCTCCTTGCATGATCCCCGCCACAGCCACAAGTTTGCATTAGATGACAGACCCTGTGAGTCCAGTTCTCTAGTTACACCAGAAAAAAACAACATAGAAAGTCTTTACAAAAACAGCAACAACAATGCAAACAACAAGCCTAAGCATTATATGGATGGCAGCTCAACCGTACTTTTTTCTAGCCCACCTTCAAAGATCTTAAAATCTTCAGAACCAGCAGATTTTCCTTTAACCCTTTCTGATTTACAAGCATCGGCCAATCCTAGCCAAGATACCAACATGTTTCACAATAAAATATTCAGTAAAAAGCAAGAAGAGAATGAAACACTGATCCATGCAACAGAAAGTTTAGAATATGATGATAGTTATTTTAATGATATGAACTCTTTTACTGAACAGGAGCCCATCATTGATTCTTTAGAGGAAACTGTTTCAGAGTTGGGGTTAAAATTTGGAAGCTCTTCAAGACATCTCAGGAAGGAATTTGTTCTTACACCTAGTCAATACATTAATTCAATGGGCACCTCAGAAAAGTTTGATGCTAGAAAAATGGGCCTGACCTCAGGAACCTTTGAGTCAACCCTCTCCAACATGCTGAAAGAAAGCTCCGAGCTTGATGGTTCCAGGTTAATATTTGAAACAGATCCGTATGAGAAGTTTGCACGAGTAACTAAACTTACAGAAACAAATGTACCAAGTTCTAATAAACCCTCATCACCATCCCTGTCAGAAGACTCTGAGAAAAGAAACTCTGGGGATGTTAAGAAAAAAAGATTCCAATCTAGTCCAGATCACAAGGTAATTACCTTACTGTACTCACAGTTCTCTGGTTTGTTCCATCTTTTATTTAACTCACATGGCTACGGTGTAAGTTACCGTAGCCCATTTCTAATGGAACAAATTCTTTCATCAAACTTCACAGAGAAATTTATTTTGGATGGCATTTTAAGTCTAATTAGAACTTAGTCTACTCATTAAAAATACATTGAAAGCTTAGTATATTCACTAACAAAGTGGGAGATCACTAGGTTGTATTCTGCTTACCTCTCATGTAATGAGTTGTATTCTGCTGACCACTAATGTACTGAGCTGTATTCTGCTTACCTTTCATATACAGAGTTGTATTCTGCTTACCACTCATGTACTGAGTTGTTCTTCTTCTTCTTAATTTTTAGTGTTGGGAAGGATCGAGCCTTATCTGCCAGAGGGTTTGAACTCGAGACTTTTTTCGAATTTATCAACCATGAGCTTTTGCAGACTGAGTTGTATTCTGCTTACCTCTCATGTACGGAGTTGTATTCTGCTTACCTTGATGTTTACCTTTTGTTTGGCAGGGATACCCGAGTGTTACCACCCACTCTATGAGACAGCTTCCCTCACAGAATAAAGCCCTTCATATAGGTAGGTAATCAGGCAACCAGCTGTCATATCAAAGCTGTTTCTGCTACTGTGACTTTCCCTAATTCTGATCCTATCGGCAGTATTAGCATAGCATTTTTATAGGTAATGTTAAAGTTGGTTAGCAAATTGTTTTTTAAATGTAAGTTAAAGAGCTAAATTAACAGCTTTCTCTTGGTTTGTTTTAGTTCTACAATATCCATTGTTGTAATTGAAAAGTTGCATTGTTTATGTCAGGTAAAAAAAATAAAAAAGCAAATGAAACTAGTGTGGACACATTTGAATCCAAGCTTGCCTTGTTCAAAAACTCAACTCATGTTTATGATGATGATGATGATGATGTCAATGAAGACACATTTTTTGGTCTTCAACCTGAAAAAACAAAACTAACTGCAATGTCTACAGAAGAAGGGGAGAGAACCTTTATGTCCACGGTTGCTGCCGAAAAAGCCAGGATAGAAAAGATCAGAAAAGCCAGGTGGGCTGCAGAGGTCATTCAGCGTCATTGGCGTAAATTTAGAGTCAGGGAGTAGTCCAAGAAATTAAAAAGCCAAAAAGTGAAATTATAATATAAGTAAATAAATTTTGTTCAAACAAAAATGTAATATATTTTAACTACATTTTGATATGTTTTTTACGCAATATATTTTGTTTCTTTTCATCCCTGATTCATTCCATTTCAACCAGAAAATATTATAGTTCTATTTTAACAGAAATTGTTTTATTTATAGCCTAAGCACCATAGAATCAGATTCTCAATTATATTTTCCTTGAATTGTTTATCTAAGTGACTGTTTAGAGTTTTTGGATTCTGTGCAGATATAATAAAGCTTAACTTCTGATCTATGCATTTAAATACAGAACATTTGTATCCCTATAGTTAGTTTTTTTCTAAAATCATGTCCCACTCGTTGATTCTTGCAGTGTATTCATGTTTTAAAGTAACCCCAGCATTCCCAGAATAAAAGTCTTCTGATGCCACCTCTGTGTTCCTCATGTGTGTGAGTAGTAAAGACAATGACTCACCCACACAATGGCCCTGGCCACCTTTTGATTCCCCATCATTTTAAGTCCTCAGTACATTCCTTGTCAGGCAACCACATCTTCTGTCTTTAAAGTTGTATTTCTCAGTTTGTACAGATTTGTCTAATGCACTAAACATTTAGTCCTCTACATTTAACATTTAGTCCTATTCATTAAACATTTTGAATGCTAGAACACAGATTTTGTCCACTGCACAAAATAGCTTATCTCTAATAAACAAGTTTTTTTGGATAGTTAAATATTAATCTGTGCCTTTTCATGTAGGTCTATACAGCGAACATGTTTAGTGCAAGAAAGTGTGTTGTAAAACTAGAAAGTATGATGTCATTAAAGTAGCATGTAAAATGTTGTGCCATCATTAGACAGTTCTTGTTGATTCTCATCTCATTACTTGTGTACATTCAATCAAAATGAAACAAAATATATTGTCCATTTAAAACATTTTTATTTTCATCAATTGAATGATTATAAAAGTTCAATAAATGCAACATATCAACTTGTTCATCAAGAAACAAACTCTTGTGTTGGAACTCATTCATTTACGACTAGAGCATTTAGTACATAAAACAACAAATTTAACATCACATCAATTTGTGCTTTGTTTTACAACGAAGAAATCATTGTGTTTTAAATGTGAACATTTTGTTTGGGTTGTCAGCATGAACAAATCACATTGTTTTGTTTGTTCTACTTGATTTAGTTTTCTATTGATCTCTAAATTCACTTGTCTTGGGCTCCCACAATGTTGACCACCCGGTTAAACAATGTTGACCACCCGGTTAAACAATGTTGACCACACGGTTATCTGTTCTTCAAGACCTGACCAGTGTCCACCTTGTGTACAGACATTGTTGCCAGCTAATATGACAAGTGTTGGCCAGGATTTTCCTTAGAGATTTCTCAGGTCTGAGACTAATCCTCTTCATTATATTTGTAGGACAATAGCTCAAGGTCTCATTCATTATATTTGTGGAGCAGTAGCTAAAGATTTAATTCAATATATGTTTAGGACAGTAGTTAAAGGTCGAATGTCACTGTTCTAGACGTTAGACATGTGGCCACAGTTCTAGATGTGAAAATGAACATTCGTGTATTTGGGATATTAAATGGAGTAAGTAGTTGCATTTCTGTAGAATTGTATCTAGATTTCATTAACAGAGAAGATCCATATATTCCATAAACAGCAGACACACACTACGCTAATGTTTCATACATACACACACGACAGCACACACATACACCTCAATCACAGCACTTTACACTACCACTCACTGTACAAATGTAACAAGTCTGCACACATACACACTGCCAAACCATGGCTTGCACACACACAGTCCCCAATCATAGTATAACATGTTTCCATATAGCACCAGATGCTCAACACACACCGATTGACTGCCCACACACACACGTCCCCAGTCATAGTATAACATGTTTCCATATAGCACCAGATGCTCCACACACACAGTCCCCAATCCTAGTATAACATGTTTCCATATAGCACCAGATGCTCCACACACACCGATTGACTGCCCACACACACACGTCCCCAGTCATAGTATAATATTGTCTCCATATAGCACCATATTCTACTCACACACCGAATGACTAGCCGCAGCTAAACCAGTGTCTCCATGTTTGTGGCCTCATCCGAGTGCATTGAACTTAGGCCGGTATCTGAATCATTGCTGTCCTCTACTTTCGTTTTCCCATGCCCGCCTATGTGAGTGGGCATCAGACTGGCATGCACGTGTTTTAGCTGATCTCTGTTGTTTAACACGGGAATTTCTTTCAGGTTAACTGTGTTGAACCACCTGGTCTGATTGTGTTGACTCTCTGAGGCCTGAGTTTTGGCGTAGTAATACGAGTTGTGGTTACTTGGATATTGATTGTCAACGTGTTTTTCAGTAGTTGGGTACGTGTTTTGGTGGCTGATTACGCCCCCGTTGCTAGATATTCCGTTAGGTTTCCGAGAGAAATTGAGTGCCTGTTCATTGCTAGTCTGGGAGTCGATGAACATGGTTAATCCATTTCGACTGTCCAGCTGAAATTTGGCCTGATCGAAACGGTATCCGCCATTGTGTGGGCCGTGGTGGGGGTGGGGTGGTTGTCGACCGCTAGGGAGTGTTGATGTCGAGTTTGTAAACCCGTTTTGAGCTGAGTAGCCGTTCTTAACTAGAGCAGAACCGTTGTTTGTGCCGTGTTTGTCTCCGGCTCGCTGGGGTCTGGTGTCTTCAGATGGTTGTTCCCAGACACTGTTCTGCGACAAGTTTGGGTGGTTGCCAAGGGGAACTTGTCCCAGCTGTGTTGACAACCCAACAGGTGAGGACTGAGTTTTGGGGGAGGGGCTCCCACTTTTGTTCATTTTATTGGACAATATATGGTACAAAGCTCCACGCTCCGATATATCAGCGCCGACCTGTGCTCCGTTCAAATCTTTAGCATGAACGTGACCGCTAGACTGATTAATGACGTCATGGCTAGACTTAACTGACCTTGAACTTTGTAAATGAATTCCGTTTTGAGTTGCTAAAGGCTTATGGTTAGCTGGCTCGATGATAAAAACGTCGTCATCTTCTGACCAGGTACGGTCAGTCACTAAACTTTTCGATGCGTCGCTCAAGTTAGCCCCCATAGATTCCCGACGACCGTTGAACAATGTTGTGAGTTGTTTCCCTTGTGTTTCTCGCCCCGCGCTTGGAGTGACGTACCTTGAATTGTGGTTGACGTTGTGTAAATCTCTCTCATCTGATTGGCTACTATTTATAAAACCATGACCGGAAAACTGACTCTCTGACTTTAGAGGACGGGAAGAATGCGGGTGAGGGTTGAGGTGGGAATCTCTCCCTCTATGAGTATTATCCCGTGTTGATAAAAAAGATTTGTTTTGGTGGCCGGGCGAATCAACAGGAGACTGCGGACCAGATTCCTGTTTTTGAACTGCCGCTGGTGTGTGGACACACAGCTGATCCCGGTTTGTGTAAAGCCTGGTCCGTTCATCCGTCGTCAGCCGCCTGCCAATCGGGCCGTTTGACGTCACTTGTTGGACATTGTCCTGTGTGTTTGACCTCAACCTTTGCTGCTCGCTAATGCCGCGTGTAAACACGTGACCATCCAGGCAGGGCTGCCCGTTGCTGGGACGGCCGTGTAAGGCTAGCGACTGGTCGCTATGGTCAGCTGGCTCGGTGTTGACTAAAGTTCTCACTCGTGGATTATCCCCCGTGCCTGTGGGGCGCTGTGTTTGACCGGTGACGGAGTTGGCGCTGTTGTTTCTAGGCACCGGTGTCAATTGTTTCTCGCCGGACTGCGAGGTTGTCGGTCTAGGCTGACCAAAGTCCGCGCCATTTTGTGTGTTTGAATATGGAGTTTGTGCAGTTTTCTGTGACGTAGTCAAAAGTTGCGGTCGTCTAAAAATTTGCGGTGGATGACTTTGTAATGTGTTACTGATATTTGTATTTGTCGTGAATGAAGCAACCTTTATTGGATCTGTTTCTGATAGATAACCAGTGTTGTGCTCGTGGGTGGTAGAGTAGCGTCCCCTGGTAGGGTGCGATGTCTCTAGACCGTACTGATTGACCACATGAACGCTGTGCGGTGCCAGACTTGGAACTCTGTTGTTGACACCCTCCGTGTGTTGCAGTCCTGGGTCCCGCGGCGGCGCGTACGGTCTGTCTGCCGACCTGGACCTGGCTTTGATTGGCGGCGGCTTGCCGTCCCGTGCCCTCCTGACGGGGGGTCGGGCATCTCTGCCGACATCCTCCTTCAGCTGCTGTCGTCTGCTTGTGTCCCCTGGTGCCGTCTCACTGGATGAAGTTCTGGCCGGCCTGCTGGGGTCAAAGACCGGCCTGCTGGGGTCAAAGACCGGCGCGTCTGACTGACCACTGTCTATGCTGGGAGGGTGGAATCGTTCTGATATCGTGTCTGAAAACGTCACGGTTTTTTTCTGAGGAAAACCGCCGGCAGGACGACCGGCAACGTGGCCGGCGCTGGCCGGCGATTCAGTTCCCAGGACCCGCAGGTTGACATAGTCTCCGTCAGATGTGTCAAGGCCACAAGGGTCAGGTGGAGAATATTCTGGAAGGTTAGAATGTTCGGATGAGCCGGGTCCTGCTGAGGCGAATGTTCTGGTCTGGTGTTGGGGCGGCGAGTGTTCTAGAACATGGCTGGGTCTTCTAGGGTGATCTGAACTGGTCCTCTCCTGGTTGGATGGCCAGTTGACTTCCGTGAAGGTCATGTCCTTGACCCCGAGTCTTTCTTGGAGTTGTGACAGCTGAAATTTTAAAAAGTTGAATTTAAATTTGTAATGAGTGAAAAGGTTCATTAATTTTACTTCATCAGTGAATTTAAAAATGTAATTTAAAAAATAAACGAAAGCTAATTAAACTTTTAAAAATTTCAATCAATTCTTTGCTCCACAACTAAGCACGCGGAAAATGAGTGTGATGTTTACAATAGCGAGTGATGATTGGATGGTTTTGGATATAAAGTGAGCACGTTAGAGTGTGCCAAAAGCTGAGGTGACCGAATCTTCTAGCACCAACCTCCTGAACAAGCGAGCTCTCAAAGATCGCCTTCTGCTCCAACTGGTGGAGGCAGACGTCCATCTTCCTGTCCAGCTCCCGCTCGTTGTACTCGTTGGTCACGTGCAAGGTCACCGCCCGGATCATCTCCGTCTATGGGGGGAGTTCAGGTTTACATCAATTGTGTGTGTGTGTGGGGGGGGGGGGGGTTCAGGTTTACATCAATTGTGTGGGTGTGTGGGGGGAGTTCAGGTTTACATCAGTTGTGTGGGTGTGTGGGGAGTTCAGGTTTACATCAAGTGTGTGGGTGTGTGGGGGGTCAGGTTTACATCAATTGTGTGGGTGTGTGGGGGGAGTTCAGGTTTACATAAGTTGTGTGGGTGTGTGGGGAGTTCAGGTTTACATCAATTGTGTGGGTGTGTGGGGGTCAGGTTAACATCAATTGTGTGGGTGTGTGGGGGGTTCAGGTTTACATCAATTGTGTGGGTGTGTGGGGGGAGTTCAGGTTTACATCAATTGTGTGGGTGTGTGGGGGGAGTTCAGGTTTATATCAAGTGTGTGGGTGTGTGGGGGAGTTCAGGTTTATATAAATTGTGTGGGTGGGTGTGTGGGGGTCAGGTTTACATCAATTGTGTGGGTGTGTGGGGGAGTTCAGGTTTACATCAGTTGTGTGGGTGGGTGTGGGAGAGTTCAGGTTTATATTAATTGTGGGTGTGTGTGTGGGGAGTTCAGGTTTATATCAAGTGTGTGGGTGTGTGGGGGAGTTCAGGTTTATATCAATTGTGTGGGGGTCAGGTTTACATCAATTGTGTGGGTGTGTGGGGGAGTTCAGGTTTACATCAGTTGTGTGGGTGGGTGTGGGGGAGTTCAGGTTTACATCAAGTGTGTGGGTGTGTGGGGGAGTTCAGGTTTACATCAATTGTGTGGGTGTGTGGGGGAGTTCAGGTTTATATCAATTGTGTGGGTGTGTGAGGCTCAGGTTTACATCAATTGTGTGGGTGTGTGGGGGGGGGGGGGGAGTTCAGGTTTACATCAATTGTGTGGGTGTGTGGGGGAGTTCAGGTTTATATCAATTGTGTGGGTGTGTGGGGGGGGAGTTCAGGTTTACATCAATTGTGTGGGTGTGTGGGGGGAGTTCAGGTTTACATAAGTTGTGTGGGTGTGTGGGGAGTTCAGGTTTACATCAATTGTGTGGGTGTGTGGGGGTCAGGTTAACATCAATTGTGTGGGTGTGTGGGGGGTTCAGGTTTACATCAATTGTGTGGGTGTGTGGGGGGAGTTCAGGTTTATATCAATTGTGTGGGTGTGTGGGGAGTTCAGGTTTACATCAATTGTGTGGGTGTGTGGGGGGAGTTCAGGTTTATATCAAGTGTGTGGGTGTGTGGGGGAGTTCAGGTTTATATAAATTGTGTGGGTGGGTGTGTGGGGGTCAGGTTTACATCAATTGTGTGGGTGTGTGGGGGAGTTCAGGTTTACATCAGTTGTGTGGGTGGGTGTGGGAGAGTTCAGGTTTATATTAATTGTGGGTGTGTGTGTGGGGAGTTCAGGTTTATATCAATTGTGTGGGGGTCAGGTTTACATCAATTGTGTGGGTGTGTGGGGGAGTTCAGGTTTACATCAGTTGTGTGGGTGGGTGTGGGGGAGTTCAGGTTTACATCAAGTGTGTGGGTGTGTGGGGGAGTTCAGGTTTACATCAATTGTGTGGGTGTGTGGGGGAGTTCAGGTTTATATCAATTGTGTGGGTGTGTGAGGCTCAGGTTTACATCAATTGTGTGGGTGTGTGGGGGGGGGGGAGTTCAGGTTTACATCAATTGTGTGGGTGTGTGGGGGAGTTCAGGTTTATATCAATTGTGTGGGTGTGTGGGGGGGGAGTTCAGGTTTACATCAATTGTTTGGGTGTGTGGGGGAGTTCAGGTTTACATCAATTGTGTGGGTGTGTGGGGAGTTCAGGTTTACATCAATTGTGTGGGTGTGTGAGGCTCAGGTTTACATCAATTGTGTGGGTGTGTGGGGGAGTTCAGGTTTACATCAATTGTGTGGGTGGGTGTGTGGGGAGTTCAGGTTTATATCAATTGTGTGGGTGTGTGAGGCTCAGGTTTACATCAATTGTGTGGGTGTGTGGGGGAGTTCAGGTTTACATCAATTGTGTGGGTGGGTGTGTGGGGGAGTTCAGGTTCTTGGTTTACATCAATTGTTTGAGTGTGTGGGGGTCAGGTTTACATCAGTTGTGTGGGGGGGAGGGAGTTCAGGTTTATATCAATTGTGTGGGTATGTGGGGGGGGAGTTCAGGTTTACATCAGTTGTGTGGGTGTGTGGGGGTCAGGTTTACATCAGTTGTGTGGGTGTATGTGGGGGGGAGTTCAGGTTTACATCAGTTGTGTGGGTGGGTGTGTGGGTGGGTGTGGGGGAGTTCAGGTTTACATCAATTGTGTGGGTGTGTGGGGGAGTTCAGGTTTATATCAATTGTGTGGGTGTGTGAGGCTCAGGTTTACATCAATTGTGTGGGTGTGTGGGGGGTTCAGGTTTACATCAATTGTGTGGGTGTGTGGGGGGAGTTCAGGTTTATATCAATTGTGTGGGTGTGTGGGGAGTTCAGGTTTACATCAATTGTGTGGGTGTGTGGGGGAGTTCAGGTTTATATCAATTGTGTGGGGGTCAGGTTTACATCAATTGTGTGGGTGTGTGGGGGAGTTCAGGTTTACATCAGTTGTGTGGGTGGGTGTGGGGGAGTTCAGGTTTACATCAAGTGTGTGGGTGTGTGGGGGAGTTCAGGTTTACATCAATTGTGTGGGTGTGTGGGGGAGTTCAGGTTTACATCAATTGTTTGGGTGTGTGGGGGAGTTCAGGTTTACATAAGTTGTGTGGGTGTGTGGGGGAGTTCAGGTTTACATCAATTGTTTGGGTGTGTGGGGGAGTTCAGGTTTACATCAATTGTGTGGGTGTGTGGGGGAGTTCAGGTTTACATCAATTGTGTGGGTGGGTGTGTGGGGGAGTTCAGGTTCTTGGTTTACATCAATTGTTTGAGTGTGTGGGGGTCAGGTTTACATCAGTTGTGTGGGGGGGAGGGAGTTCAGGTTTATATCAATTGTGTGGGTATGTGGGGGGGAGTTCAGGTTTACATCAGTTGTGTGGGTGTGTGGGGGTCAGGTTTACATCAGTTGTGTGGGTGTATGTGGGGGGGAGTTCAGGTTTACATCAAGTATGTGGGTGTGTGGGGGAGTTCAGGTTTACATCACTTGCGTGGGGGTGTGTGTGAGGAGTTCAGGTTCTTGGTTTACATCAATTGTGTGGGGGTGTTTATATCAATATTCAGGCAAGTGTGTGTGTGAGAGGGGTGAGGTATGTTTACAGCAACATTCAGGCAATTGTGTGTATGTGATGGATGAGGTTTATTTACATCAACATTCCGGGTATTGTGGGGGAGGTTTGTTTACATTAACAATCGATTGTATTGCACGGATTACAAAGACATTTAATGTTCAATTTTTGACGTCCTTCTGTTAGATAGCATTCGTTGTATATGTGTGTATAGAGATGTGTAGCAGAGATGTGTATATAGGATGTGTAACTTAGATATACTGATCTAAAAGACAATGTGCATATCGTAAAACAAAGTTTACCCACCTCAACATTTCATATTACATTTCCTTAAACCACCACCCTTCATTTTATGTAGTACTTATAGATTCCCCCCCCCCCCCCCCCCCCCCCCCAATAAATCTTGGGGTTTACAACGAGAAAATAACTTGTTAAATTTGTATTTAAACAGATGTATAGCCCTGTGTGTTTGAACAAATGCAACTGTTCTAAATTTAACTACAACATTACCACTACACTACTAATAAACCATCACTCTCCCCCTTCCGACACTGCCCCTACATGTTTAACATACCACAACTATTTTACAACATATGTTCTCTAAGTGTTTAACCATTAATCCATGTTTTGAATATATCATCTATATAATGTTCAAAAGATGGTTCCTACTGTGTTTAGCAGACTATCCTTAATGTGTTTAATACAATATGATAAGACATATTAGAATTGGTGCGATTATATTATATCCGAATTTCAATGTTTTATGAAATACTTAGCAAGAAAAGAAAAAAAACGAAGCCTAACTTTCCAACACTATACAACTATTGGACTACTTTAAATAAATGTCCCTCATTACAAATGATTCACACACTTGTTCCATTTACGGGATTTGAACCAACGCGATACAACTTACTCTCGTGTCCTCTAGCTCTGCGTCTGTTTCTCCCTCCATGGCGGACTCCAGCCCCAGCTGGCCAGATAAACGTTCGACTTCCGGTTGTATCTCTTGTATCTTGGCCATCTCCTCGGCCAGCCGGCGCTCCACGTGGGCCAGGTCGTCAGACAGGCGCGAGATCTCCTCCAGCTCGTGCTGGGAGGATTCTGGGAAGATCTGGCTGAGGTCACGAAGGTCAAGGCTACTGAAGCAGTCGAGGCTACTGCTGCTCTCGCTGCTGTGGCTGTTGAGGTAGGAGTTCTGGACGTAGTCCATGCCGTTTTGCTGCACGCGGTGGTTGTGGATCTGTTGACACACAAAAAATTGTCCTTTCGTGAAATATTTTTTTCCATTTTTTTAGTCTAAAAGTTAACATTATAGACATTTGTTCCCACACAATTATCATGTATATACATTTATTTATTAATGTGATTGCGCTGTCCGCTGGTAGAGCATACCCGGAAATCTCGAGTTCGAATCCCGGGTTCCCGTCGGTAAAACGTCCCTGAGTCCACCCAGCTCTGATAGGTACCTGACTCACGTCAGGCGGCTGGGCATGTGCTGACCACATTATCCCTTCATATGCCGAGATCACCTGCCCCGTAGACTCTCAGGTTTGAAAGGTTACTTAATTAACCTACGTACTTTACGTGTAATCATTAGGTAATTTTAAACATAGGATTATTTCAGTAAAACGATACAATCCAAAAAAATACTCGTCTGGGAAAAAACAGTGCTACCAAGGCTGGGTTTTCTATTTTACGGCTTTCAACTTCAACAAATTCTGGCTTGGATTTTCACCCCACTTGTGGTTATTTTCGTAAGAAAAATGAGTTTACTAACCACCCAACCAATGTTTACAAACCACCCAACCAATGTTTACCAACCACCCAACCAAGGTTTACAAACCACCCAACCAATGTTTACAAAGACCAGCAACAATTGTTACCCAACTGTCACGTGTACGTCAAGCACTTAACAGTCACGTGGTCACCTGGTCACGTGACTGTGACGTAGTGAAATAAGGGGCGTGGCATGCTACTGACCTTTGACTCGTGACGGTCGATGAGGCGGTCCGTCTCGTAGATCCGGTCATTGATGGACTGGATCTTCCTCTCGTGGCTGACCACTAGCTTGACCAGCTGCTCCAGTGGCTTGAGGCGTGAGCACTCGTCACAGCCACGCTTGTTGTGGCATCTGAGGAGAAGGTGGTTAGAGGTGGTTAGAGGTGGTTAGAAGTGGTAACAAGTGGTTAGAGGTGGTTAGAAGTGGTAACAAGTCGTTAGATATGGTTAGATGTGGTTTGAGGTGGTTAGAATGGGTTAGAGGTGGTTAGAGGTGGTTAGATGGGGGTTAGACGTGGTTAAATGTGGTTAAGTATGGAGGTCAGGCATAGGGACAGAGATGTTTAAGTTGAAGGGGCCGAACGAGTCGAGTTAAAGATACCCCCCCCCCCCCCCCCCAGGCTTTATTATACTACATATGAACTCAACTATTTTACAAACATAATGACGTCGTCTTGCACCTAAACCTACAGGTAACAAAAAGATTCCCTGTGGTGATTTTGTTTTAGAACTTCTGGTAAAAAAAAATTCTAAAGATGATGACTAAAATAACTCTCAACATATGATAGGCCATACATATTTAGTAGCACCTTCATCATACAACAAACACATAAACGGCTAGATTTGCCGTTAGGAACCAACGTTGGTGAACGAGTCACATGACCGGCTACTCCAGGACCCGAGCCTACCTGCAGCTAGTGCCGTGTCTGCCCTTGTGTCTGCTGGTCTTGCGGTGACGCCTGCGACTCCTCAGGTACAGGCTCGACTCCCCGGGAAGGAAGTAGTCGTCTAGACTGCGCATGCTCAACTGGACGCTGGCCTGATCTTGACCCCATGTCGCCCAGATCTTCAAGATCTTCGTCCTAGCCTGGGGAGGAAAAGATCATATGGTAGGGTCAGTTGTTGGTTAGAGTAGCTACATGACATTAGGCAACAAGAGTAGCTACATGACATTGGTCAACAAGAGTAGCTACATGACATTAGGCAACAAGAGTAGCTACATGACATTGGTCAACAAGAGTAGCTACATGACATTAGGCAACAAGAGTAGCTACATGACATTGGTCAACAAGAGTAGCTACATGACATTAGGCAACAAGAGTAGCTACATGACAGTGGTCAACAAGAGTAGCTACATGACATTAGGCAACAAGAGTAGCTACATGACATTAGGCAACAAGAGTAGCTACATGACATTAGGCAACAAGAGTAGCTACATGACATTGGGCAACAAGAGTAGCTACATGACATTAGGCAACAAGAGTAGCTACATGACATTGGTCAACAAGAGTAGCTACATGACATTGGGCAACAAGACATGACATTGGTCAACAAGAGTAGCTACATGACATTAGGCAACAAGAGTAGCTACATGACATTAGTCAACAAGAGTAGCTACATGACAGTGGTCAACAAGAGTAGCTACATGACATTAGGCAACAAGAGTAGCTACATGACATTGGTCAACAAGAGTAGCTACATGACAGTAGTCAACAAGAGTAGCTACATGACATTGGTCAACAAGAGTAGCTACATGACAGTAGTCAACAAGAGTAGCTACATGACATTGGTCAACAAGAGTAGCTACATGACATTAGGCAACAAGAGTAGCTACATGACAGTGGTCAACAAGAGTAGCTACATGACATTAGGCAACAAGAATAGCTACATGACAATGATAGAGAGACGATATATATTTTTAATGTGTAAAACCACTCAATTTTAAAGATCGCTCTATGTCAAATCATTCACCTCAGCTTTTAGGTAAAGTGGTAATTGCCAAATTAAACCCCCAAGCTTCAAGCTTAAGTGGTTATTTAATTAATTCAGAGTGTCAAGATAATTTCATTAATCCCATTTTTTTTTAAATTTTTACATTTATTCACTATCATTGTTTTCTTAATCCTGTCATGTAAAAAAGATTAACAAAAGACAAGGAAAGATAAGCGAGTAGGGCAGGGTAGCTCTAGGTCTGGGAGATTAAATGACGTACGACATTTCGGGTGGGCGTTGGAGAAGCGAGAAAAGACGCAAACAACAGCACACAAACTGAACAAAACGACGGCCAACTAGATTGTTGACCTCAAGTGCTTGATAAATACAAGCGGACGGTTCATTGTGTCCTAACCCCTCCCACCCCACCCTGACAATAAAGTGGGCCAAAGTCGGTAGGATGGCAGGACAATGGGACTCTTCCCTGCCCATGTCGGTGTGCACGGGGCGACGACAGATCACTTCCCTCCACAAACACCGTACGGGACATAGTCAAGTCATCCAGACAGGCGCGACGAGATACGACTTGAGCGCCGTCTAGTTGGTTAATTGGACCTATCGTAAGGCCTCGTTATCTACGGCTGTGGGAAGTCTTATCGTAACCCACACAATTTCAGACGGGGTCGGGAGCCATCGTGTCTTCTGGCGACCCCCACAATTTCAGACGGGGTCGGTAGCCCTCGTGTCTTATGGCGACCCCCACAATTTCAGACGGGGGTCGGTAGCCATCGTGTCTCATGGCGACCCCCCCCCCCCCCACAGTATCAGAGGGGGTGGGGGTGTTAACACTTAACACACTTCATCAATTTTATAGATGTCAAGTATAATCTCGCGCTGAATTGTTAACAAAAGGGAGGTCTGGCGACGTTTTCTGCCACAGAAAATTTTAGTTCTATTTAAATCTGGAATCATCAGGCATGTGCTACTTACTTGAGTCACGTGAGAAGATCTAAACTTGAGTCACGTGACACGACCTAAACTTGAGTCACGTGACACGATCTAAACTTGAGTCACGTGACAATCACAAAGCCTGGGTAACATCCACAGAAAACACCACTTGCTAAAAGCACCTCAGCACGGATTTACATTCTGTGGTGTAGGCGATGTGTGTCGACACCTACCACAGCGATGAAGATCAAACATTTAGATCAACCACTCGCCTCTAATGCTTGACCCAAGGCCACGGACACCTGTGTGTGAGCAGGTTCAGTCCCACAACAACGTCACGTGACCAGGTCACGTGTGTCCCAGGGTGGGGTTCGTAGTCAGACGACGTGTGTTCCGGGGTTGGGTTCGTAGTCAGACGACGTGTGTCCCAGGGTTGGGTTCGTAGTCAGACGACGTGTGTCCCAGGGTGGGGTTCGTAGTCAGACGACGTGTGTAACAGGGTGGGGTTCGTAGTCAGACGACGTGTGGCCCAGGGTTGGGTTCGTAGTCAGACGACGTGTGTCCCAGGGTTGGGTTCGTAGTCAGACGACGTGTGTCCCAGGGTGGGGTTCGTAGTCAGACGACGTGTGTAACAGGGTGGGGTTCGTAGTCAGACGACGTGTGTCCCAGGGTGGGGTTCGTAGTCAGACGACGTGTGGCCCAGGGTTGGGTTCGTAGTCAGACGACGTGTGTCCCAGGGTTGGGTTCGTAGTCAGACGACGTGTGTCCCAGGGTGGGGTTCGTAGTCAGACGACGTGTGTAACAGGGTGGGGTTCGTAGTCAGACGACGTGTGGCCCAGGGTTGGGTTCGTAGTCAGACGACGTGTGTCCCAGGGTGGGGTTCGTAGTCAGACGACGTGTGTAACAGGGTGGGGTTCGTAGTCAGACGACGTGTGTTCCGGGGTGGGGTTCGTAGTCAGACGATGTGTCTAACACAAGGGCCTTCTAATGCTAGAACATTCCAGTGGCACACAGTCAAGTTTTCTTGTCAGCAAATGTCGTGTCACACAGTCAAGTTTTCTTGTCAGCAAATGTCGTGGCACATAGTCAAGTTTTCTTGTCAGCAAATGTCGTGTCACATAGTCAAGTTTTCTTGACAACAGTTCGCGGTGTAGTTTGTAGCTTGACTAGCCTAACTTACTTGTGTCCATTCTGTTAGAAGTTTGTGTGAGAGTGGACAAGGTGGGCCACTTGAGTGGACTAATCACCGACCCTACACCTGTCACTAATCACCGACCCTCTACCTGTCACTAATCGCCGACCCTTTACCTTTGACACGGATGTTTTTGGTTGTGAGCGGGGGATTAACCTCGGCTTCTTTTGTTTTATCGTCTCCACCCCCACCCCCATCTCTAATGTATGTTCAACAGTTACATTTATATCGAATTTGATCTAACGTTCGCTAAGGCTAAACATGGTAGTAACTATTAAAAACCTACCGATAGGGGGCGCTCTACTTCCCGCCATTTCTCAAAAATCGCGAAATTGTCCGTCGACTCTGACTCATGCAGGCCTGTGCTGTATAAAATGGCGTAGATGATGTCATCACAAGTTGTGCGCTTCGTCAGACCCGTCATCCATCTTTGTGTACCGTTAAACCAGATAGGGATGTCGTGTTGGTGGGGGCTGTCCTCCATTACACTGGACCACAACTGAAATGAAATAAAAAAACAACACATAATTTAATGTTGATTTAAATGAGCCCAGTCCTAACTATGACAGAGTAGCTGCTTAAGATCAAATCTTGTTTTATGACCCCAACTACCAATGAGAGCAATGTAATTTTTAAACACGCCATTCCTTACACTGCCTTCATGTGGAACTACAACAACGGTTTAATAGATTGTTGTTACATTTTCGTTATGGATGAGGCTTAGAAGACGTCAAATGAGATTTTGTTTATTAGAATAAATACTGTGAAAATCAAATTTGCAAGTGAGGGGGAGGGGGGGGGGGGTTGGTTTATTCGTAATTCATCATTTGAAATTATGTTTAGAAAATAGTTGACAATGTAGAATAAGTAAAAAATGTTAGCGATGTCACAACACGGTCACGTGTCACTGTCAGACCAACACTGACACACCACCCACGTGATAACCTATCCAACCAATGTTTACCTACGTCACTTGCACGAGTCGGGTCAATTTTAAGCCAATAGAAAATGTTTTTACAAACAGAAAACCAGCGAATCAGAGCAGCCAATTTGTAGTGAGGTCGTGATTTCCGTCAAAAAGATTAGAACGAATACTTGTAGATAGTGCACCGTTCTATTGCCAGGGGAAGTAATTCAAGGGAGGGTACAAAAAATTAATTGGTTTGCTCTGGCATTACACAGAGAGTCTTAATGATATCTGCAGAGAGCACGCTAGGAAGATAAAGTGGCAGAATAAAATGGTGTCGTTTTGTCACTGTAATCTGGTGCATGAGATTTGAATGAGGATACTCGATCATGCCATATTTAAGATACCAATCTAATTCAGTACATACACATTTAAAGCTTTGGTTTATCTTCTGAAATATTTTTGTTTTTAGATTTTTATATTTTTGTTTTGCTACAAAGCAGAATGTAAAATACCATGTGTGCAGGCGACAGTTTTTCTATTCCCCCCCCCCCCCCCCACCCAACCTCGCAAAACAATCAAACTTTTTTCTTTATTACCGCCCATTGATCCTAGCCAGTATTTTTGTAAGCCTATGTAAATAGCCTCCCTTGTCTTGTGACGTCATAATTATTTCCAATAGCCCGTGAGCGCGGGAACAATAACGGGCCAATGTGCGATATTAAACTTTCAAATGGGGGGGGGAGAATCGATCTTTCAAATATTGAACCGTGGGATGATCGATTTCTGTAATTAATACACAGAGTGATTGATTGGTTTTTTCTGATGGCTATTTAGCTAAAGTTGACAGAAATGACCCAGGTCGAGTTGTATAATGTGTGGGAATTATTCAAATTTGTCGGGGTCGGCGTGGTCGAGTCGGTAAAAGCTCATGGTTGCTAAACCGAAAAGTCTCAAGCTAATATGGTATGCCGGGAAATCAAAAGTGTTCCATTAGGGCAGATAGTTGTTGAAAAACCTAAACTCCACACAAAGTTTGAACCGTCGTTAACAGAAGCCATCGTGATGTATGGGGTAAATTTAGAACCGTCGTTACCAGGAGGCATCGTGATTGACAAGGCGATCGTCTTTGTTTTTCTTGCCACCGTAGTGTAAACATCGTTTGGTGAGATCATGTGTGACGTCACCTGACATCAGACAGGCGACATTTCGGATTCAGTGGTTCTCAAAACATAATTCAAAGATGAATATATTGGCTTTTTGTTTGGAGATAACAGAAAGTTAAAGTCTTGTGTGTTTGCGAAGGGGGGGGGGGGATGGGGGGATGGAGGAAGGTGGGGGGAGGAAACAGTAAAAGGAGTATGGTGATAACAGCCACTTTAGACAGGAGTTATCTTAGGTAAGGTGATACAGGCAGGTTACCTTAGACAAGGTGTTACAGACGAATGTCACACGAAACAAAACAAAACAAGACGGCCAGTCATGGATCATGTCAACATGTGGTAGTGACCACTGACTCGAGAAAAAAGAATTTTTGAACGTTTTGGTCAAGGATTCATCTCATAGAAATCTGATATCTAACATACGAGCTTTGTGGTCAAGGAATCATCTCATAGAAATCTGACATCTAACATGCGAATTTTGTGGTCAAGGAATCATCTCATAGAAATCTGACATCTAACATACGAACTTTGTGGTCAAGGAATCATCTCATAGAAATCTGACATCTAACATACGAACTTTGTGGTCAAGGAATCATCTCATAGAAATCTGACATCTAACATACAAACTTTGTGGTCAAGGAATCATCTCGTAGAAATCTGACATCGAACATGCGAACTTTGTGGTCAAGGATTAATCTCGTAGAAATCTGACATCGAACATGCGAACTTTGTGGTCAAGGAATCATCTCATAGAAATCTGACATCTAACATGCGAACTTTGTGGTCAAGGAATCATCTCATAGAAATCTGACATCTAACATACGAACTTTGTGGTCAAGGAATCATCTCATAGAAATCTGACATCTAACATACGAACTTTGTGGTCAAGGAATCATCTCATAGAAATCTGACATCTAACATACAAACTTTGTGGTCAAGGAATCATCTCGTAGAAATCTGACATCGAACATGCGAACTTTGTGGTCAAGGATTAATCTCGTAGAAATCTGACATCGAACATGCGAACTTTGTGGTCAAGGAATCATCTCATAGAAATCTGACATCTAACATACAAACTTTGTGGTCAAGGAATCATCTCATAGAAATCTGACATCTAACATGCGAACTTTGTGGTCAAGGAATCATCTCATAGAAATCTGACATTTAACAAAATCAGCCCGTGGAATAGATTATTTCGTTGTTCATCTAATTCAATCAACAAACTGTCTAATTAATCGTGAATTAATTGGTGTTCATATTAATTATACCTAGTGACCTTTTTTAATTTTAATCTAAGCAGATAAAAAATAATTTCTTGTACTTATTTAGATCTCCTATTGTAGTTGTACGCATGCGTGACTGCCGCCATTCATGGCCACGCTTCTATAAATAGCCCCACCATTTCTAGAACTACTAATGACTTCTTTAAACCAAGACTGGCTGTAAGCAGAGATTGGGACGGGAGATGGGACTGGCTCAGGGCGGTATTATCTCCACAATCCTCGGGCTGGCTTCAAGAAAATGCCGTTATAATCCCTGCAGGTGAGATGGCGGGCCAAGTGTGTCCCCGTCCCCCGTCCCCCGTGTGTTAACAGAAGGCCATTATGTAGCAGATGAAGGGAGAGATAAACCTAACCATGCGTGGCGCTAACGGAGCGGCTTCTAGCGGGGGTTTTGCCTTTCATGTACCTAACGTTGTCTTTATATGTATAGCCAATGTAACAAATTTTATTTATATAACTAACGTTGTCTTTAAATGTATGGACTATGTTACAAATACTTGATTTTAACTAGTTTTGTGTATATAGGCTAATATTTATAAATGTAACAAAATTCTTTTTTTATCATATATAGGCCTGCTATATAAGTTTGACCAACTATTTATTATTGTTCCAGAGATCTAAGCTGTATAAAATATAGTTCTTTATCGTATTACCTAATATAATTGAACTTAATGTTCTAACCAATAATAAGGTCGCAAAATGTTCCACAAATATATAATTATCTGAGTAGGCATATGAGTGATATAGGGGCCTACTACTAACAAATGTTACAAAGATTGATGTTTAACTAACGTTGACTTTATCAAACCATGGAACCATACGTCAAACTGTTCCGTGTCACTCCCTATAATATGAGATATGAGATAGGGCTCAGCTAGTCAACTCTTGCAGTCAATCTCAGAGAACTAGAGCACCAATATCGAACTGATAATAAAAGTAGAAATACATGCGCGTCTATATTTTTAAAATTGCTGTACGACCATGTCTCTTTATTCCATTTCGAAAATAGTAAACAAACACACACACACACATACACACACATACACACACACACACACACATATATATATATATATATATATATATATATATATATATATATATATATATATATATATATATATATATATATATATATATATATAAAGGCTACAACATTACAAAACATTAAAAACACGATTTGAAGATTTTCACAGAAGTAGTTTGGCTTTAATTAGCCACTGTTTATCTGGCAACGTCGTACTACATCTTAAACGAGGCATTTCTGTAGTGTTAGACATCATTTTAACCTGTGTGGTGAAGGGTTCTAGACTCACTGTGTGTTCTAGATTGTTCTACAGCCGAGGAACCCTTGTCTTTTAAACGATCCCAATTAAAACCTCATCAAGTTACATGAAATGCAAACCAATAAAAATGGGGCAATATTTGCTGAATATAATTGAGCAGACGAGAGCGAGGGCTATTAACATAAGTAAGTGTTGATTCACGCGCGTAGTTTAATGGAATCCGGATGTGTCAACATTTCCGTTGACGCGATGCAAACTGGTTTATGTTCACAGATGCGACACGTGACCGGAAGTTTAAATTATGACGTCGTGTGTTGAAATAATCGTTAAAAATGCATCGTAATTTTCCTATAAAAACTACTAGATCTATAAGCAGAATAGACGACATTTTGGGTGTCAATTTTGTGTTAGTTCTTGCTGCTAATAAACTCGAGTCTTCGTAGGCTTCTTGGTGGGTAAAAGGGAAATAATATGGCATCCTGTCTCCATGGTTACATAACAGGGGTGATTATCAGTTAACCTTTGCTTTTTTAGCTGATAAGAATTGCTTTTTTTATAGTCTGCATTGTTATAAACCAAGATTTATTAAGTAACGATGTTTATATCACGTGATCATAAGTTACCGTAGCCACGTTTGTTAACAAGAAATGTTACCACAAGATCAGCTGACCTACAGAGTGGAGATTGAGTTAATACACTTTTTATGATTGGTCGTGTTGTTTCTAACCAATAGCTTTGTCTCCACCAATCAGATGTCTGCTTCTAATGTCTGAGGAAATTTGAATTTATCATGTCGTGAGCACACAGAATAAAGGCCAGTATTGATTACTGCAATTCATTCGTACACAGTGTATATATTTTTTTTTTTAAATTTGAGTCGCAGGGCTGATTGTCCCTCTTCACATTCGCCTTTTTTTTGTAATTCATCTAATTTATTTCGTAGTTTTGAAGTTACGTCTTTAATATTGCATCTTTTATTTTATGGTGTTAAAACTATGAGGTGTTTACAGTACCTAGCTAACGGTGTACAGTCTAAATTGGCTTCCTTCTAATAAGAACCAGTAAAGCGAGACAATCTGCCGTTGTATCGGGTTACTAGATTTCGTGTGACCTTACACCGCCCGGGCTTCCTTCAGTGACGCGACCTTAAAACGAAAGGTTCTCAATGTCTGGTTTCTGACCCCCCCCCCCTTCTCCTACACACGTTTACACACACCTTCCCCTCCCGGCATTTTACTACTCTTTATCTTTAAGTGTTTTTACTAGACCACACAGCTAAACACACGTATAGAAAGTGAAAGTCTGAACACAAACAATATTAATATATTTGGATCGGAAAAACAGCCGATCTAGGTTTTTAAAAAGTAAGATTTCTAAGTCGTAGGAAAACTGATCATCAGGCTGGCACTTCCTGTTGTTCAACACTAGAACCGCTGTGCTCTGCTGTCGACTTTTTATCAGCTAAAATATGTGCGCCATTTATTTCACCAGGTGTAAGGCATTGTGTTATGATACAAGAGCCTAGCAGGGCACGAAAATAACGGGGCTATTTATGTCGCCAAATGACTCGACAATTTTTTAAACATCGGCTTCTTAATAATCTTGAAATCTGCGGTATTCTTTTTGAGAAACATTTAATGTATGTTTTAAGTATGGGTGTGAAACTAAATCCAAAACTTTACACTGAAACGTTTATAACATGGTGTGTACCAAAGTACACACGTGGTCTGTGTGATGACATGTGGCAAGTGTGTACAGTTGTACATATGGAATTTGTGACGTGTTGCGTCACGTGGTTCCTATAGGTGGCGTGTCACGTGACGTGTCTTTGTCTCATGTGAGGGCCAGACAGGCGACATGTCCAGATTTCTTGACTACTCATCAACACCTTCCTACGTACAACATCACCCTTCTACCCCATCCAACAAACAACACCACCAGTCTACACCCTCCAACATACAACATCACCCATCTACACCCTCCAACATACAACATCACCCATCTACCCATCCAACATACAACATCACCCATCTACCCCATCCAACATACAACATCACCCATCTACCCCCTCCAACATACAACATCACCCATCTACAGCCACCAACATACAACCTCAATCATCGACACCATCCACCATCCAACATCATCCATCTATACCCTCTAACATAACCCAACATAGCTGGGAAAAAAACATTTATATAAAACAAATGAAAGCCGACGCTGGTGTACCAATCTAACCCTGCAGATAGTACGATCAAGGCTACAACTCTGACGCCTCTACCATGTCTCAATTCTCACAGTTTGATCTTGTGTATGGGATCAGTTGGATGTAACAGATCTAACCGCTGGTGTATGCGCTGAATATGGTCTCGACGTTTTAACTAATCCGCTCCACAAAAGCCGTATTAGCCATTTTAAACACAGACACCAACACAAAGGTTTTTCTTGAACACTGACACCAAGAATACAAACACCCCCCCCCCTTCCCCCACCCCCCGCCAGTTCACTACAACATAAGCCCGTACAAACATGTCGTATTTCTTCCACAGCGCTAGAGTATTTTATCATTTTTTAAACATTATCAACAACTTTTGTCCTAATCTGTCCTGCTGTTCTGTGTCATAACCCAGCACGATCGGTGTCATGGCAGTGACATTTGATACAACGCCAGAAACATCATCTTCGCATACCATGAACATCATCACCGCATACCATCAACATCATCACCGCATACCATCAACATCATCAACACATACCATCAACATCATCACCGCATACCATCAACATCATCAACACATACCATCAACATCATCACCGCATACCATCAACATCGCCTCCACATACCATCAGCATCGTCTCCACATACCGTCAACATCATCCCCGCTTACCACCAACATCATCACCGCATACCATCGACATCATCCCTGCATACCACCAACATTATCTCCGCATTTCATCAAGATATGCCCGCATACCATCAACATCATCACCGCATACCATCCAGATGTGAACAGCCTTGCAGTGTCACGTGACTCGTACCACAGTTCCCCGGCGACCATTGGACCGTTACAGATGTTTCACCAGCTACCGCCGCGTTGAAAACAAACCAACGGCGCAAATTTAAAAAAGAAAAAAAAACTTGTATCGTTGTCAACAAAACGAAACAAATAAATCTAAAATTAAGTCGGCGATTTTTGTTCGTAAGTAAAATACCTGTGGTCATGTAGTACACACAGACAGACGAACATTTGAATAGTGTCACGATGACGTAAAGGGATTAAGATCGGGTCATTAAGTTCATTACAATTAGACACTCCAACTAGTTGAGTGTCGGTAGGACGTCAGGTGCGAAACGGCTTGGGGTGGGGGTTCTTACAACAAGCGAAAACAAAGTGTGCAACAATAAACGTTACACGTAATGCACCGTTATATTTAGGGTCATTGTCTGTTAATTATATAGTTAGTTGTGGTAAACTAATAGTAGACATTTTTGGACCCAGTAACCTGCACTCTTCCAGTAACTTGCTGGTGGGTTAACTAAAGATTGGAGCTTAGAACGTTATACATGATAGAAAGGGGAATACAAGGGATGCCCTAAACACTATGACGAGGAGTGGGGGTGATTGGAAGAGGAAAACATAGGATGTCCTACACACTGACACAGGTTGATAGCAACGTGAATACACTTGTTGGCTTGAACTCAACATGGACGTGCCAAAAACAAGATGAGCATCAGTCAGTGGTCACAGTTGATTTCTTTCAGCTGTCCTCATCGACCTTTGTCCGCTTCCCAACGGAATCCGGACCTGCCATTTCACGCGACACCACATCGCCTCGCCATCCGCGCATCCAGTCAGACGTGTAACCACTTCAGCCAATCAGCTCTACTAAAATAGAGCTATCTAGGCTGACCAATATCACAGCTTGTGCACGGAAGACGCAGGCAGGAGTAAGCTCAGTTTTTAACAAAAGGAAATTCAATTCAAGAGTGGCAGGGTAAAGCTGCCATGATTTCACGTAGTAACCATGGCAACTGGTCACTCACTTTCAAGATGGCTAAATTATCCAATTAGAACAATGAATTTTCTTTTGTCGTCTTGGTGGTTAACTCATGACCCTGCCTAATTGGATCGTAACCTTGGCTAAATAAATTTGACTAATTACGTTGTCACCCTGGCTAATTAAGTGGTGACAATGTCTAATTAAGCCGTTACTAGCTAATTAAGTGGTGACCCTGTCTAATTAAGCTGTGACAATGTCTTATCAAGCAAATACAAGCCAATTAAGTTGTGACCCGTCTAATTAAGTGGTGACCATGTCTAATTAATTTGCGACTAATTAAGTCGTGACAATGGATAATTAAGTCGTGACGATGTCTAATTAAGCCGTAGCAGGCTTATTAAGTTGTGACCCGTCTAATGAAGTGGTGACCATGGCTAAGTATGTTGTGACCACGCTTAATAAAGTCTAGACCACGTCTAATTAAGTTGGGATTTCCACCCCCCACCCCCACCCCCACCCTTATGTAATTAATCTGAGCTTTGGCTGGCTCACGCTAGAGTCTCCTATTGAACATTTTGCAATTTGGTCATTGTCTTCCATCTCCCTTCTATAAACATTGAGGTTTAATTTACAAACCAACATTCGTGTACAAGTACAACATTAGACGTCAACATTCGTGTACAAATACAACATTAGACGTCAACATTCGTGTACAAATACAACATTAGACGTTTATCACTTCCAGCATTTAGCACATTAGGACTGCAACACCTCTAGCGAGTAGCATTCCTAAGGTGTAACACCTCTTGTGTATTCATATCCTAACGTGGAATACGATACGAGAACTTCACAATGACAGATGGACCAAGATGTGTTGGGGGAAAAAATATTTGTAACTTTGTTCTACAACATCAACAAAAGTACCTGGTGTGATCTTGGGAAAGTAGCTATTGAAGAGTTGGGTCGGGAGAAGCGGGGGGGGGGGGGGGGGGGTGGAAGGGAGGTTCTGGGTCTCTTCTCTCATCAGCGCTACACTAGGTGACAGTCTTATAATGAAAGGTTTAGACTCTAAACCTTGAATAATTGATTTACCAACTCACAATGGGAGAGTTATGACTCTAGACTTTAAACCTTTTATACTTGACTTAACAGGACAGTTCGTGGAGTTTTCTTTACCACCCTTCTCAATGAGGTGTCAAATGTGTTACACCTAACACTTGACAATTTCTGGGAACTCGGTGAAAGAAAGGGTAGCTGAGCTCTTTAGTTAGATAAGTTTTGATTGTGTCTGGTTATGTAACTAGTTAAGTTCTGATTGTGTCTGGTTATGTAACTAGCTAAGTTCTGATTGCGTCTGGTTAATCTAACCTTTCATGTCTTTTAAAATGAGGTGGGATGTTGATTGTTAGATAGTCAACAAAAGGTTGGTTTTATTTTGGAGGCGGCCACAACTCCCCACTCCCCACAATCCGTTCTCGCCATTTATTGTTTCCTAAATTTTGATACCCCGAGAAGCGTCTGCCTAACGAATGTAGATGTAGCAGTGTAGCCATGATTTCCCACACGATGGTAGCTTTTCCTTACAGTGCTACACGCTGGCTTTTGTTTCAGCATTGACACACTTGTATTTACAGATTTCGCAACTCTCTATCACAAGTAAATCTCCGTGTCTGACTTTTTTATGCAATCTCTTCACGGCAGACGTGCTTTTCTCTCGCACAAAAGGCCCACACAGTGATGGCCCTTGATTGCTACAGAGAATGGCGTCGAGTTTATGCAGCGCTGAGCAAGGGAGGTAATTTGTAGATTCTGAGTAAGGGAGTTAATTTGTAGACGATGAGTAAGGGAGTTAATTTGTAGATGCTGAGTAAGGGAGTTAATTTATAAACAATGAGTAAGGGAGTTAATTTGTAGACGATGAGTAAGATAGTTAATTTGTAGACGCTGAGTAAGGGAGTTAATTTGTAGACGCTGAGTAAGGGAGTTAATTTGTAGACGCTGAGTAAGGGAGTTAATTTGTAGACGCTGAGTAAGGGAGTTAATTTGTAGACGCTGAGTAAGGGAGTTAATTTGTAGACGCTGAGTAAGGGAGTTAATTTGTAGACGCTGAGTAAGGGAGTTAATTTGTAGACGCTGAGTAAGGTATTTAATTTTTATACATGAATAAGGGAGTTAATTTGTAGACGCTGAGTAAGGGAGTTAATTTGTAGACGCTGAGTAAGGTAGTTAATTTTTAGACACGAATAAGGGAGTTAATTTGTAGACGCTGAGTAAGGGAGTTAATTTGTAGACGCTGAGTAAGGGAGTTAATTTGTAGACGCTGAGTAAGGTATTTAATTTTTATACATGAATAAGGGAGTTAATTTGTAGACGCTGAGTAAGGGAGTTAATTTGTAGACGCTGAGTAAGGTAGTTAATTTTTAGACACGAATAAGGGAGTTAATTTGTAGACGCTGAGTAATGGAGATAATTTATAGGAGCTTAAACCGTTGCTACGCAATCACGGGACGCCAGGCTAGACCTGGCAAACAAGGGGAGAGTATGTCGTCTGCTGGCACGCTGCTGCTAATTGTAAGAAGAAAGGACTTGAGGTGTGTGTGCCAAGTGAAGACCCCCCCCCCCCCCCCGGTCAAGTCATTAAGGTGATGAAATATTTGCTGCACGTCTACTACCACGTGAATAATTTAACCCCCCCCCCCCCATTCCCAACTCACGTCGGCTAACTTTGATTGCCCAGAAACAGTTTCGTCTAGTCACTCAAGTGGTTGATCGAAAGAATGCAAGTATTTCATGCTGTGGCTCTGGGTTCGAATCTAGGCAGGTCTCAGAGTTTACGCAACTTCGCAAGTGGAAATCTTGAATGAGTATCACAATTTATGATAACCATTATTTTCTTTCCGTAAGATCATTTGGTTGATTGTCTATTAGTAACATCAGTTGGTTGATTGTCTATGATTAACATCAGCCTTATTAAAGTGATTATGAATGATATCATGCATAGACTGACTGTTACAAATAAGTCTTTACTTGCTTGGTAAAACTCTATTCTATTGAGGAGTAGGACGCTGCATCTTTTGTAAAAATAGAAATAAAGAAAAAAAAACAACAAGCAAACAACGGTTAAGAGATTTGATGAAATCACGTGACCCATTAGGAAAGAATATAATTTGCAACAATAAAGTTTAACGCCGCTTGGGTCATTTTGTAGTGTCAATGGTTCATCCTTCCCTCCCCCCCCCCCCCAGCTTTGAACACCCCCCCCCCCCCCACACACACACCACCGTCAAACCTTTTTGAGGGTCATCTCTCTAAGCCCGGGGGTCAAGTTAGCTGAGCCTGAGGGGGAGCTCATCAAACATGGGCATAAAAAAGTTACACAACTGTGTAGGACACACGTTACACAACTGTACAGGACACAAGTTACACAACTGTGTAGGACACAAGTTACACAACTGTACAGGACACAAGTTACACAACTGTGCAGGACACAAGTTACACAACTGTATAGGACACAAGTTACACAACTGTGCAGGACACAAGTTACACAACTGTATAGGACACAAGTTACACAACTGTGTAGGACACAAGTTACACAACTGTGCAGGACACAAGTTACACAACTGTACAGGACACAAGTTACACAACTGTGCAGGACACAAGTTACACAACTGTATAGGACACAAGTTACACAACTGTGCAGGACACAAGTTACACAACTGTACAGGACACAAGTTACACAACTGTGTAGGACACACGTTACACAACAGATATTTATGGTAATATGGTAGCTTGCGTGTGTGTGGTGATATGGAAAGGGGAGGGGGGGGGGGGGTGATTTCTGCTTTAGATCAACTTTTTAGTAATTGCAGATAGAAAGCTGAGGGACAAACCAAACTCGAACACATGTTTGAAACAGTCAGGTTTGGTGTGAGGCTTGTGTTTCGTAAGGGGCCCAATACGGGACGGCGAAAACACAGCTTATAGAGAACGTCCTAGAGAAACACGGGACCTTGTTTTAGACCAAACACATCTCCAACATCATGTTTACACTCAACAGTTTTAGACCAAACACATCTCCAACATCATGTTTACACTCAACAGTTTTAGACCAAACACTTCTCCAACATCATGTTTAAAGACACTCAACAGTTTTAGACCAAACACATCTCAAACATCATTTTTACACTCAACAGTTTTAGACCAAACACATCTCCAAGATCCTGTTTAAAGATATTCAACAGTTTTAGACCCATCGTATGACCTGCTTATCGGCGTCATTGAATTGTGACAGATATCCTTGTACGTAATCACGCCTTTGAATAAATGATATCCCAGGCGTCATTAAAGTTTCGCATTTTCTCAGGCTGATTGGAGCGTGGCCGAACGTATCGGCCCCTGATCTAACATTAGCTGGTGTGTGGGTCTAGTGGAGTGGCTACACACGGCAGTTTGTGATCTGTCTTAAGACATTGGTGTATATCCGACCGGCATTAAGACAAGAGGGTATAGTGGAATGGAACAGTTTTTTGAGACAAGAGTGTATTGTGGAACAGTCTCTTAAGACATGATTGAACGTCTTACATCGTTTTACGTATTTTTACGTATTTAACATTAATTATAATTAAAGCCTTTATGAGTATGATTGGATAATTTATAAATGTATTTTTGTATGTTATGTAACACAGTTTAAAGAATCAATTTGTAATGGCTTAGCTACAAATACTTTCACCCTTCTGATTTTTTTTCATTAGCTTTTCTATAAAGTTAATATTATAAAAATACTTAAAGCCAGTTCGTAAAACAGCGCTATTCCTGTAACAACCTCCGATCGCATCAATGGCCGACTTAAATAGAGCCCACCCAAATTATGCCCAAATCCTTCTTTGTGATTTCTTCTTTAGACACTAAGCCGTGAACCCGCTGATATTGAGCCACCCAAACCCATCATTACACGAAATATGACGTATCTCTGTCAACACCATCTCGCGACGTGTTCTCACGCGCTGTCATCGCTACATGGAGCATTCTGATTGGCTGACAGTTTCACAGCAGGCAGGGGCGTATTTAAAAAAAAAAAGAGTGTGTGATGAAAATACTGAAGTTGTAGGCGGGGAGATAACTCTATGTTGCGGAATGGAAGCTACCAGGGGAGCGAAATTAGCTAAGAAATCCTTAACCCTCCAAGTCCATTGGCTAAATCTGTATTTTCTAAACAAAACAATTTTTAAAGTATATCATAAAGCACACAGCGATACAGTGTAGACTATACAAGTATTAAATATCTAAGCCTACACGGTCTAGAGTCTAGAACATCTTTAGTTGCACGCACTAAGGGTTTATCAACTTGATTTTCGTATCACAAGTACTGGAGTGCACCGTTACTATTTTGGTTATAAATTGAAGAGAAACCTGAAACTACATGTTTTTTTTTGTTGTTTTGTGTGTGTGTTTTGGGTTGTTTGTTTGTGTGTGCCTTTTTTTTAGATTATTTTAAGAAAATAAGTAACATGAGTAGCTGTTCAATTTAAAAATTATTTTTTGCGCGTAGTGCAACTCCGATGTTCAATCGCATGAAGAGACAGCGTAATGTAAAAATGTACCGGTAACATTTGAAACAAACACCGGGAGCCGAAGTTGTCAACAAGCACACCGGGCCGTGTTGGCCTAACACCGCCTAAACAAACAGCCCGCCAACCGTGAAGGACTGTGTGCAGAAAAAACATTAACTGTCTCGTGGTTTCAATAAACTCTAGGTCAAGGTCGATTGGGAACCCATGAGTATCGGTTATGTAATCTTTTTCTGGGGTAACCTTTCGACATTAGACTAGGTTGCATTTTATTGACAATATCTTTAAATTATTCAATAGGATAATTAATGCATGAACATTTTTTTTTAGGTTCAATAAATATATATTTTTTTATGCAAACCTCTTTAAAAAGTAAGGTGACAACCATCCAGTGAACTATAAATACATTTTGACAGGGTAAAATAAAAATCACATAGTGTATGTGTATGACTATCGTCTCATTAAGTCCCAGTTAGCTTAATGCAAGAGTTCACTTCCCTTTTTTAGTACTTGCCAGATAAACGAAAAACCGTGTCGTTTATATTATTTTATGGCTATTGGACGTGATATACTCAAATGCTGATATATTTTTAAAGGAATGCTAACTTAACTTCTAATTGTCTATTGAATTTTTATAATACATGTAAGGCCCTATCTAGTGTTAGCAACATTACCACACTTATAAATTTAGCCATAGTTTTTTTTGATAACTATAATGCCAAAATGGCAACCCATGTTCAGCAATTAAAGAGGGCAGCGTAAAATCTGGCTAGTTGCGTGATCCCTGGGTGAAAAGCGGGGGGTGATAAATATGTGCAAGAATGTTCATGAATACACGATTGGACAATAACAGTGACATTTCTACACACGGGAAAAATGTCAAGATTTTATGCCGTAATTTATTATATTTAAAATATATACGGTAAACCTCCTAGTATTTGGATTGGGGCATATTTTATTACCTGAATAATTTAAATATGGATTGTATATTTATTGGATTATATATTTTTAAAAGCGATGATATGGGCCTTCATCAATCATATAATCAAACGGATTTAATAACTGAAAAAAGTAATTAAAAATTTCGAAGGTAAAACAGCTGTTTCTAAAGAAATTAAAACTTTAATACGTTAAATGTCTAGAACAAAAATAAAATAGTCATGAAGGGACATACAGTTGATTGTGATGCAACCAAAGTTAACGTTAGTGTTGCAAAGTCGTGGGTGCG